CACCTAAGGTCAGGAGTTCAAGATCAGCCTGGCCAACATGGTGAAACCCCGTTTCTACTAAAAGTACAAAAATCAGCTGGGCCTGGTGGCAGGTGCCTGTAATCCTAGCTACTTGGGAGGCTGAGGTAGGAGAATCTCTTGAACCCTGGGAGGCAGAGGTTGGCAGTTAGCCGAGAATTGTTGCCACTGCACTCCAGCGGACACAACAGAGCAGACTCAGTCCTTTAAAAAACAAAAAAAAAAAAAAAAAGTCTGGGTGCAGTGGCTCAAGCCTGTAATCCCAGCCACTTTGGGAGGCTGAGACAGGGCGGATCACTATGTCAGGAGATTGAGACCACCTGGCTAACACGGTGAAACGCCTGTCTCTACTAAAAAATACAAAAAACTAGCTGGGGAAGGTGGCGGGCGCCTGTAGTCCCAGCTACTCGGGAGGCTGAGGGCAGGAGATATGTAAACCCGGGAGGCGGAGCTTGCAGTGAGCAGAGATCACGCCACTGCACTCCAGCCCTGGGCCGACAGAGCAAGACTCCGTCTCAAAAAAAAAAAAAAAAAAAGGTGTATTTTGTGAAAAACGAAAACATGTTTTTGCTTAAATGAATGTATATACTCTTTTCTAACTTGAATTTATTCCCTATTCTTAGCGTATGAACTTTTTAATAGACTTTAACTTCTAAACAGTGAATTGAAATTCTCAATACAGTGAATTCTATAGGAAAAAAGAATACTACATAAAATGATTATTGTTCATGTATTAGTCATTTCTACAAATTACTTAAAGCAAAACTATTAGAAGGCAGGCCATAATTAAGGGAAGATCTCAAGAAGACTCCTAGTGCAGTTCTTAATATTTTTACTCCTGATTTTCATACTATTATTAATAATGATAAACCTCTCATTTGAAAATACTTGTACAAGGAAGCAGGACAAGTGAAATGATTTTGTAAACCCCAGCCAATCTCCAAGAGAATAATGATCATATTAAAAGTAATGGCAATGACATCACTCTGCATTAGTAAATAAGAGTTTGTTTATGAAGCCCTTTTACATGCCCCAAACCAAACTTGATTTCCAGTGACAATATGTTAATATTATGCTTTATAGAGCTCTGAGCCACACACTGATTATTTGTTCATGTGTTAAGGTAAATGCAAGATTTTTCCCTGGTCCCATGCGCAAGCACTTGCCTGATTCTCACATTTAATTACTTGGGCATATCTTGATTACTGTATCTTTGGTACTGCATTTTCGAAAGAGGACATTCATTTTATCCACGGATAATGTTTATCATCAAAAAAAGAACCTACCCTTACTTTATTGCATAGATTGTCTGAAGTCCATGGCTCTTGTTAGAAAATTTACCCATATTTTAGTAAAATTTTTGTCCTAAGACTGGGTAGAGCTAGGTGGGGCAAATTTGCCTCTGCTCCATGTCAGCTTCCATGGCTCATTGGGAAGACTGAAGGGTTCATTTTCTTTATTTTGAGACAAAGTCTTGCTCTTTCGCCCAGCTTGTAGTGCAATGGCACGATCTCAGCTCACTGCAACCTCTGCCTCTCTGGTTCAAGTGATTCTCCTGCCTCAGCCTCCAGAGTAGCTGGGACTACAGGCATGTGCCACCATGCCCGGTTAATTTTTTCTATTTTTAGAAGAGATGGGGTTTCACCGTGTTAGCCAGGATGGTCTCGATGGGCTGACCTCGTGATCCGCCCGCCTTGGCCTCCCAAAGTGCTGGGATTACAGGCATAAGCCACCGTGCCCAGCCTGTTATGGCTTTTTAAAAATAATTGGAAAGAGGTCCACATAGTAAGAGAGTGAGGTCTTCCACAACCAATCAACAACGAGCTGAGTCTTCTCACCAACGGCCATGGGATGAGGCATCTTGGAAGCTGATTCACTTAAAGCAAAGCGTAAGAAATTTTCAAAGTATTTTTTTTTTTTTTGACACAGAGTTTTGCTCGGGGGCTCAAGCTGGAGTGCAGTAGTGTGATCTTGGCTCACTGCAACCTCTGCCTCCCAGGTTCAAGCAATTCTCATGCCTCAGCCTCCCAAGAAGCTGGGATTACAGGCATGTGCCACCATGCATGGTTACTTTTTTATTTTATTTTTTTATTTTTAGTAGGGACAGGGTTTTTCCGTGTTGGTCAGGCTGGTCTCAAACTCCTGGCCTCAAGCAGTCCTCCTGCCTCAGCCTTCCCAAGTACTGTGATTACAGGTGTGAGTCACCATGCCCAGCCAGAAAGAGTAATCTACCACTAATCACCTCCTCCTCTTTCCTGTTACTATTGTCCAGCATTTTATTTTCACCTCAATTTTTCTATTGCCCAAGTTGGTTATCTATTGCCCAAGTTGGTTATACTCCTAAGGTGCTTATTCAGATTTACCTGTGTTTACCAGTTTCTTTACCCACTGCTATGCCAGTTATGAATTTACTGCCTCTCAGCTCCCAAACTCAGCTTGGTTGTCTTGTGTATTGATACTGGAGCTGGATCCTGTGTACTTGGATTTCTCCTTTACCAGCTGATACAATGCCACGTTATACTAGGTCAGTAAGGGGAAACAGGTTCACTGCAGAGGAAAGTGGCTTCTCTTTCTGGTTCCTGTGTTCTCCCATTCTTGTCTTCTTAGTCCTATTGGCAGCAGTGTGCATGCATCCTGCAACAAGTTTTGCTGACACTCTGGAGTGGGGCTTTCTACTTACCAATGTGAGCTCAGAATCCCTTGCTCTCTAGCCTTGCTTCTTGCATTTTCTTCTTCCTGGGATCAAATTTCTTCTCTTTCTTTTATTGTGTGGGTTATTATTATTATTATTTTTTTAGATGGAGTTTTGCTCTTATTGCCCAGGCTGGAGTGTAATGGTGCGATCTCGGCTCACCACAACCTCTGCCTCCTGGGTTCAAGTGATTCTCCTGCCTCAGCCTCCTGAGTAGCTGGAATTACAGGCATGTGCCACCACGCCCAGCTAATTTTGTATTTTTAGTAGAGACAGGGTTTCTCCATGTTGGTCAGGCTGGTCTCGAACTCCTGACCTCAGGTGACCTGCCTGCCTCAGCCTCCCAAAATGCTGGGATTACAGGCGTGAGCCACTGCGTCTGGCCTCTTTTATTGTTTTAAGGAGGGCTTATTAGTAGTAAATTCTGTCTTTGTTTAGCACTTGATCTTCAATGATGAACATGTCTTTCCTGAGCACCCACTTTTGAATGATAATTTGGGTATAAAATTCTAGATTGGCAGTTAATTCCTCTCAAGACTTACAAGATATGAGACTTACAAGATATGATTCCACTCACTTTTGTCTTTTTTGTTTTATGAAGTTTGCTTCTAGTTTAATTTCTTTATAAATAATCTGACTATCCTTTTACTGATTCTGCTGTCTTTAATGTTTGAAAGTTTCACTTTTTTGTCTAGATGTGAATTTCTTATGTTTTCCGCTATCACTGTGTGTTCTGAATCTGAAAATGAGTTATTTTATTTCTAAAGTAAAGTCAGCCAGTATCACTTTAAACACTTCCTCTTACTCATTTTCCAGTTTTTCCTTCTGGTACTTTCTACTGACATATGCTGGACTTTTATAATAATTCTATCCTACATACCTCTTAACCTTTTATATTTTTAAATTTTCATCTCTTTCTGCTATCTCTTGATAACGTCTTCAAATGTATTCTCTTTTTCTGTCTTTAATGGTTTTTTAATGTCATGTTTATCATGTTCACTAAGTCAGTATTTCAATGATCTTTGTTTAATTCTGGTATTAGAAAGTTGTGTCTAATCTTTACTTTATCCTGTCCACTAGGTTTTATTATTTCAATTACAATATTTTTCATTCTGCATTTTTTTTTTTGCCATCTGTTCTTCAGAATCTTTTTTTTTTTTTTTTAACTTTAAATCCTTATATTTGCCTTTACTTATATAAAACTCTTGGTGGGTTACGTGTAAATCTGTTCTTTTGTGTATCTGCTGACCATCCCTCATGGGACTTGTTTACTCATGTGTTTTGTAATTGTGGATTGTGACGTCATCTTAAGTGGGGCTTTTCTGTGGGAGGTTGTGGGGCCTAGGTTATGGCTATGCTCCTACAGAGTGATACACTGTGCATCCTCCTAACACCTGAGTTGACACTGTCCTGGAACCAATTTAAATTGCCACCTGTAGTTTTCCACACTAAGTAATTTAAATTTTGGACTCAAAACCATGGCAAGATGTATTTCCAGGGTTTCAATTTGGAAAGATAAACTTTAATTTAAGAAAAATCCGGATTCTAGAGACCTCTTCTGTGAGAATAGTTTTTTAGTTGCATCTAGATAGGCAGAAAAACTTAAGCTGCTAGCAACTATCAACTTTAATAATTCACCCACCCCCATCCTCGACTGCCACAATATCACCTCAACTATCTATCTTCTATTTATTTTTTGTATTTGTAAATTTTCTTTTCACATTGTATGGTATGGCTGCATGATAATTTACTTAAACCTTTATTTATAAGCTTTCGGATTGTTTTTTCTATTTTAATACACAGTATTTCTATGAAAATTCTCATAGGTATTGAGTATTGTGGATATTATTTAGGATAGAGTATAAAGGTTAAATAACTAATCTAGTATCAATCTTCCAGTACCTGTGAAAATTTTCAGGTTGTATGAAATTTTGTCCAGCAGCATTCAGCACCACAGGGAAGGCAAATACTTGGAATCAACCAGGTTGGGTTTTTCTCTTCAGAAGAGTAAAATAAAGGAAAGAGTCAGTGTGGTTAGGCTCGGTGTGGTGGCTCATGCCTGTAATCCCAGCACTTTGGGAGACTGAGGCAGGAAGATTGCTTGAGCTCAGGAGTTTGAAACCAGCCTGGGAAATATGGTGAAACCCCGTCTCTACTAAAAATACAAAAATTAGCCAGGTGTGGTGGCAGGGGCCTGTAGACCCAGCTACTTGGAGGGCTGAGGTGGGAGGGGATCACTTGAGCCCAGGAGGTCGAAGCTACAGTGAGCTGAAATTGCACTAGTGCACTCCAGCCTGGGTGACAAAGTGAGACCCTGTTATGAAAGAAAAAAGAAAAGAAAAGGAAAGAATAAAAGGACAGGAGGCAGTGGCCAGGACAGCATGTAAGTGGGATAATTCTTGGGTAATGAAAAGGACTAGAATGCAGGTGATGGACTTTGGTGACAAAATGCAAACTATGCATACAACAAGGAGAGTTAATGTTCAGAATATGTGAAAAAACTTTCACAATAACTCCAAGAAAAGACTTAGGTTTTCACTACAAAGAAATGCTAAGTGCTGAGGTGATAGATCTACTAAATACCCTGATTTGACTATTGCTCAATGCACACATGTACAGAAACATCACACTGTATCCCACAAATATCCACAATTATCACATATCAATTAAAATAAAACTTCTAAAATATGGAAAACTTCTTAAAAGTAAACAAACAAACAAAAATCAGGAAAAGCAGAGGCCATAGAATTAAATCAGGCCATTTAAATGGACATTCAAGTCAGTCAGGATGAACTCAAGTATAAGACTTTAGGAAAAGTGTGAAAGTTTTCACTGAAAATTTCCAAGAGATCTGAAGGTGGCAGTGCCAGGGAACTAGCAGTGGGGGTGGGTAGCACATGTTTCTAAGAGCAAGAGATTTTCTAATAGGAGGAGAGAAATAATGATTCCCAAGGAATTGGAAGGAGCAAAGAGACTCTATAAACCACATTCCCACCTGAAGTACTTTAAGTATTCTGGAGTTTGAGAGAATGTGTAATCTCTACTTGACATCCAAGGGAAGCAATGCCCTCAAGGGAAATCCAGGTTACAGTTACAGCCAGGAGATGCAAGGAACTGTCAAAGATAGAGCAGCCAAAGGAAATCAGGACATTGGCTTGTCATACAGCTGGACTTTCAAGAGACGACAACTGAATGTTTTGTGCAGTGTGGGAGGAAAGGGGTGCTGGACCAAGAGAGAGAATTCAGAATATAGTGGTAGGAGTGCAGGAGAGAATGGGAGAACAAAGGGGCTTAGGGTTTGGATAGTGATCACAGAAACCAGGAATGTTCAGCAGAGAGGGTTGCTCCATCAGACAAAAGAATGGAGAAGTGTGCAAGGGCCTTCTTAGCCATCCCACATGGAATCAGATAGCTCAGCAAGAAAGTCTAAATCTAGTCATTACGTGTCCAGGAGTGGGCAGTCCTCCTGCTAGCATTGGCCCTATGTTTATGGTTCCTGTTAAGAGGACAGGGGAACAGGGACCAAGAGGTTACTACAGAAAGTCAAGTTGTGCTCTGAAGCGCCCCCTGCAGGACCCTGTCCAGAGAGACAGGAGCGGTTGAGGCTGCTGGTCAGCACTCTGGGCTATTTTGTGCTCCCTCCCACCTGCTCCTCCTTTTGGCCCAAGTTCTAGTCCCACTTGCTTTGTCACCCCCTCCTATGGCAGCTTCCTCTCTGGTCTTCAGTGTCCTCATTGATCTAATGAATACACATCGCTCCTCTAATCACAAATATTCATGCAGAAGTATAAATGATGTGAAAGTGCTTTGAAAATTGTAGTAAGTGAAAGGGCACTGACTTCTTCCCATTTTCCCAAGTCCTGCTTCAGAACCACTCTCCTAGGCCCCAAGCCCCTAACTCCTTCTTGGCCGTTTAATCAAACTTTGCCTACTGAAGGGCATAACTATATGGTATCCCCAGAACGGGGACTAATATTACAGCCCCCATTTCTTCTCTTTGCTATTTGCCATGATACTCTTAAACCTAGAGACTGGGATCCTCTCCCTAGGCCAAAAGGGAGGGGCACATAGGCATCATAATGGGCATTCAGACATGGTATGATGTGAGGGGTGGGCATGAGATAAATGCTGGAGTAGGTCTGGGCAACACCCCAGTTACTCATTTGGACTCACTGGGACAAGTGCTTAACTAGAATTCTCAATGAAGAAATGACAAGAAGGCTCCCTCCAATTTCTCAATTTCCACCCCGCCCGATACCCAGTTTGATTCCGCACCCTCCTAATCCATGCCACCCTTGTAATCCAACCCGCTCTCCTAAGGCAACCCACTTACCCCCCCTTTATCCTCAATCTGCCAAGACTCTTTCTCCTCTCCAGAAGTATGTAGATTTTTCAGTTTTCTACCCTAACTGTTATCCCACTGTGGCTCATGCCTGCCCTCCCCACTACCCTACCCTAAAACTCTTCCTGCCCTGCTCTTCTGCTCTTCATCACAGACTATCTATTTGCCAATGCCGTGGTCCCACAACTCTTTCTGGCAACTTCCCTATCTATGCCTCTAGCCCTCTTAGCCCTGTTTGCCAAAGCTGTGGTTTCAGAGCTCTTTCCTGTGACTCCCCTGTCTATCCACCTACTCCTCCTCCTAGCCCTGCTTGCCAATGCTGTGGTCCCAGAATTCCTTCCTGTCACTCCCCTGTCTATCCGCCTACTCCTCATCCTAGCCCTACTACTTCCCAATACTCTAGTCCCAGAACTCTTTCCTGTGACTCCTTTATCTATTCCTCTACTACTACTTCTAGCTCTGTTTGCGAATGCTGTGATCCCTGAACTTTTTCCTGTCACTCCCCTATCGATCCCCCTACTCCTCCTTGTAGCCCTTCTTTCTAGAACTCAGCCTCCAGCCCTGCCACCTGCAACCAGACCTGGCGATTCAAAGATCTCATCTTGGAGATGTTTTTCCTGCTCCTGGAGCAGTTTTGGTGCAGTTCAGAATGGCCAGGACCATGGCTTCAGCAGCCTGACCTGGTGGACAAAGAGAAGCAAGACAATGGCAAACCTGCATTCAGCCTCAGTAAGTCACGGGAGCCCTTTCCATGGCCAGGTCCTGGTCACCTACTGCTATCTGTATTTTGCCTTCACTCCCATCTTGTTAATCCTCTTTGATTTTCTTTCTCTAAACAGTCTGCTCCTTTCCTTCCCTGCCTGATCAGCCAGATGGCCTAAGCTTCTACATTTGTCCCTGGCTTCTCCATGGAACTCAGCCTACAGCCACAAAGCAAACCACGGGGCCAGTGACAGAGAAGGCAGAGGGGAGTGAGGAGTGGGAAACACCTAACCTGTTCTCAAGGAAGGTAAGTCCTGCCCTGGGTTAAAGTAAGGGCAAGAACCATTACCCCTGAGAGCTCACAGGGCACAAGGCCCCTGCTAGAGACAGAGCGAGACTCAGTTTTGATTTTGTTCATGTTTTTCGGGTCTTGTTTATTCCAGAATTTATTTGTATTCACCCTAGGATTCCAGAACCACGGCAGGGACTTTAGATATCTAGATTCAACAGAATCTCAATTAAAATCTCACTATATTTTTGAGAATTTGACAACTAAAATTTATACAGAAATGCAAAAAGCCAAGGTTAGTCCACATTCTCCTAAGACATTTTTGCCTACCAGATATCAGAACTCATCATGAAAATTATAGTAATTAAGACAGTGTAGGAGTGGGGAAAACACAGACAAGCAGACAAATGCCACAGATCCAGAGCAGAAGGACTGCCACACTGCTCTGCCCATGCATGGCTACTGAACACTTGAGACGTGCTATTAAGTGTAGAACTTACACTGGAATTTTGTTGTTGTTTTTAAAAAGAATTATTTATTTACCAAATCTGAGACATGTTAGATACAACCAATTTTGTTTACATATTTTAAATCAATTTTGAAGTGTTACACACACACACACACACACACACACGCACGCATACAACAGTTGTCCTGAGGTGAAAGTCACCTTCTCAATAAACTGTTGCAAGTGTTCTCACCCAAGGTTGAAAAATTGTTTATCCTGAACATGAAAACCTGTAACAAACTTAATTATGTAAAAGTCATGACTTGTAGTTTTCCCGTTGCAAAGATAAAAAAAAAAAAGTACAACTAATATATATGAGTCATCATGTAATCCTGGATTGTCCCCATATCAAAACCAGAGGCTCTTCTAATTTTAAACCCATCATCGGAGAACAAGAGAAAGTCATTTCATTTTACACAAAGCAAAATTTACATGTGTTGAAAAAGAAAGACCTAAAGAAAGACCGAAACAAAAAGCCTGGGGCGGACACTGATGCCCGAAACAAAGACCGCTGATCAAAAATAAAATGGTGGCTATATATCACTGCAATGAAATCCAAGAGGCTTCAACCCTTTGGCATCAGAAATCCAGATTTTTCCAATTATGTAAATGCATGTTTCTTATGTGCCAAGAGTGAGGGAAGTGGATGTGCCAGTGTGGAAAGAAAAAGAGCCACCACTCACTGGCAATTTTAAACCCATCATCAGAGAACAAGAGAAAGTCATTTTGATTCTCTCACCCAGGGAACTAGCTTTAACAGACAATTAGAAGGTCAGGCAGAAACCCGAAAATGATTATTAGCTACTTGTGTCATCAATTTAACTGGAGGTGACTGAGTCCTAAGGTTCAATGTAAAAATGTATGGGGCAAAATGTATGCTGAGTTGTAGCTTTAAAGCAAAACAAGAAAACAAAGTGGAAAAGTACCCAGCCTGGCAGCATACGCCCAAGTCAGAGAGCTCTGCCATTAGGATGGGCAGAAACCATCAAGATTCATACTGTTGTTTCTCGTAAGGACTCAACAAAATCTTAGTGACCTGAACCACAAATTGAGGGAGTCCAAAGAATGCAGTCACTTTAGTACAGTACAGGCTTTGTGCTGACTTCCTGAACAAACTGCATTTTATTGTGAAAACAAAAAGAAGAAATAATAAAAAACTATACCCCATATTTCACTTAATGGAGGGAGCATTCAAATAAGAAATTATGCCAATCAACTGTCAAATTTCCACTATAACTTTCCTGAAAAGGTATTTTCCCCCCAATATCCCAGTATCTATTAATCACAAAGAAATATAAGTTGTGAATGTATAGTTCAGAAAATAAAAATGGAGAAACTAATGATATTATTATGACAAGATGTTTGGCAAACAGTGAATTCAGAGTTTAGGATCATCAGGAAGAGGCCTTTTTTTTTTTTTTTTTTTTTTTTGAGACAGAGTCTCTGTCACCTAGACTGGAGTACAGTGGTGTGATCTTGGCTCACTGCAACCTCCACCTCCTGGGTTCAAGGGATTCTCTTTCCCCAGCCTCCTGAGTAGCTGAGATTACAGGCTCACACCACCACGCCCAGCTAATTTTTGTATTTTTAGTAGAGACAGGGTTTCACCATGTTGGTCAGGTTGGTCTTGAACTCCTGACCTCGTGATCCGCTGGGATCACAGGCGTAAGCCACCATGACCAGCCAGGAAGAGGCTTCTTAAATAAGCCTCTGGACTTCAAAAAAGCTCTTCAGGTAGTAGATCTGTCCCAATGTCATGGCAACTAGAACAAGAGCTTCAAAGAAGGACCAAAGAACCACTCTGCTGTTTGTGTTGTTGTTGATGGCTCCATGTATCCTCTCCCGATTTCCATGTATTCCTGTTTGTGCTTTCCAGCTGTCATCGGCACTGCTAGCTCACTGATCATTTCTTCTAAGTTGTTCTGGTGAGCTTCTTTTTCCATGTCTTGTCCTTTTGGAGCCTCCCCAATATCAATGGTGAACATCACTATTTTTGGAGTCATGGTAGACATCCGGTTACTAAAACAAACTTCGGAATCCATGTGAGCAGCAAATGTGTATTTCCCACTGGATTCTCCATCTCCTATGTAAATCCCTTTATTATCTGGTCCTATTATCTCCACATTGATGTCCAGGAAGCTGCCCTCTGCCACCTCAGAAATGAGGCCCATCTTGGTACCCGAGGTGACCCGCTCAAAGAAGCACTCCTCGGCATGTGGGTTGATGCTAATAAAGTAGCCTGAGACCATGGCCAGGAGCGCGGCCAGGAGCACCAGCAGGTCAGCAAGGGTCACCATGGTGGGGCTGGGGCCGAAGCCAGGACCTGGACTGCGGCCTCCAGAGGCGCCCCTGCTGCCGCCCCGCTAGAATTTTAAACAGTAGGAAAAATGGACTGGGTACGGTGGTTCACGCCTGTAATCCCAGCACTTTGGGAGACCAAGGTGGGTGGATCACGAGGTCAGGAGTTCGAGACCAGCTTCCATTAAGAAATACCAAAAAAAAAAAAAAAAAATTAGCCGGGAGCCAGTGGCAGGTGCCTGTTAATCCCCAGCTACTCAGGAGGCTGAGGCAGGAAAATAAAAAATTAAGAGAAAGAACAATGTCAAATGTCCAATTTTTTTTTTTTTTTTCTTGAGACAGGAGTTTCACTCTTGTTGCCCAGGCTGGAGTGTAAAGTGCAATCTCGGCTCACTGCAACCTCATCTCTGGGTTTAAGCAGTTCTCCTGCCTCAACCCCCCAAGTAGCTGGGATTACAGACATGCTCCACCATGACAGGGCTAATTTTTTGTATTTAGTAAGACCAGAGTCTCACCATGTTGGTCAGGCTGCTCCAAACTGCTGACCCTCATGTGATCTGCCCGCTCCAGCCTCCCAAAGTGGCTGGGATTACAGGCATGAGCCACCATGCCCAGCCATGTGTCAATTTTATACTGAAACTTTGAAAGTAAAAATAAACTTGGATATACCAAGTTAATAAAACATTATTAACATTAGCTTACAGGTTCCTTTTCTCTCTGATGTGGAACACTAGATATTACCCTAGATACACAATATTTAGCTAAAATAGGCAATACATGTCTCACTTCATATTTTTTTTTTTTTTTTTTTTCTTGAGACGGAGTCCTCACGCCGTCGCCAGGTGGAGTGCAGTGGCGCATCCGGCTCACTGAGCAAGCTCCGCTCCTGGTTCACGCGCATTTCTCCCTGCCCTCAGCTCCTGATAGCTGACACAGGCGCCCCGCCCCGCGCCGTGCGCAATTTTTTTTTGTATTTTTAGTAGAGACCGGGGTTCACTGTGGCCCTCCGATCTCCTGACTTGTGATCCGCCCGCCCTCGGCTCCCCAAAGTCGCTGGGATTAAAGGCGTGAGCCCCCGCGCCGAGCCCTCTAACTTCATATTTTTATGAACATGGCACGGATCCTAGAAGATAACAGAAATATTGATCTTCAGAAACAATCAAATGAAAAGATGCCAAAAAAAGCAAATTAGGCAGCAATAACCATACAGGGGAAACACTAAATATGATTGAACCACATTAAAGGTTCCCTGTGCAAAAGGACAGCATTAAGAACTAAAAAGCAAGCCCACAAACAGAAAAAAATTAGTGTAGCCACATGAAAAAAATGTATTTGTAGCACACATGATTCTCAATAAAGAACTTCAACAAGCTAATAAATAGGCAACCAATCCAATAGAAAAACACGTTCAACAGAGTCTCCCGAACACCCAAACGCATCCCGCAGAACATGGTGTCAGAATGAATGTATGGCAGGGAAGAGTGTTTAGGCACACACTAAATCGGGTGGCTAATTCACCCATCCTAGGGATACCTTTGGATCTTTTAAAGTAAGTGATATTATATGAAGTATCCAAAGTCATTCATAAAAACAAAACTTAAGATAGGGACTGCTAAGGCTGGAGGGACAGGGAAATGCAGTTTTTTTTCATGAGTGCAAAGATGTTCTGGAGACTGGTTTCATGCAATGTGAATATACTTGTGTGTACTTAAAAATGCCTAAGATGGGAAGGCCGAGGAGGGCAGATCACAAGTCATGAGTTCGAGACCAGCCTGGCCAATATGGTGAAACCCCATCTCTACAACAATATAAAACTATTAGCTGGGCGTGGTGGTGTACGCCTATAGTCCCAGCTACTCGGGAGGCTGAGGCAGGAGAATTGCTTGAACCCAGGAGGCAGAGGTTGCAGTGAGTGGAGATTGCACCATTGCACTACAGCCTGGATGACAGAGCTAGACTAGACTGTTTCCAAAAAAAAAAAAAAAATGCCTAAGATGGTAAGTTTTATATTATGTGTATTTTACAAATAAATATTTAAAAAACCTCTAAAGTCACCATGTTACTTAGAATCAGAAAGAGTTATTCTGTCTATATTATCGTGTTGGTGATACTGGCCACATTGACCAGAATGTTCTT